AACATTACAATTTATATTTTTCCAAGCACACAACAGTTTAAAGCAAAGTTTAGTTTGAAAAGAATGTGCAGGAAGGATTAAAAAGGATTTTAACACGGTAATGTAGGCTTGAGTTCATTATCTGACGCATGCAGATACACACCAGGAACCTGGAAACTTAAAAAATACTGAATTACAAAAAACATGTTTCATTGATATATATACAAAAATGAATATTAGGAACTATATTTATCAAACATTATACTGGGCAAGTAAAAATTGTTTCTGGGCAAATTAAATGTGAAAGTCACTTGTCACAAGTTGTAAAAATCCTTAAGGTCAACCCCTGATGTCTGTTCTAGTGGAAAAGTTTTAATTTCATAAAAAGTCTTCTCTTAAGGAACCTTAGCTTATCATAATGTCGCTTTTCTGCGCAGAGAACCTGAGAGAAGCGCTGGAGAAGCTGAAGCTTGCATCTACAGACAGCACCACGGACAGCACCGAGGGAAACCTGGACTGCCTGCTGAGCGCACTGGCCCATAACAGTGAGTTCAAACCATACGTCTCCGGTGGGCTTCAGACCGCGGTAGTTACGTTTTCTCAAATGATGATGTTCTCCTCGCGCAGACACCGAGGCTAGCAGGAAGATGCAGGAGATGGGCATTCTTCCCTTGCTCCCAAACCTGCTCAACCCACAGTCTTCCTGCACCCCTAAAGTTGCTAACATCATAGCTGAGATGGCCAAAAACGGTAGGTGACCAAGCGTACCTGGTGGGGATGGGGTTTGATGATTTGGAGAGAGGAGGAGGACTTGGATTCAGTTGTCTGAGGGTATCCAGGGAATCAGATGGTTCACTCCTGACCGCACACAAAGCTTGAATAAACAGAGTTCATTTCCATGATTTCTCTCTGATATAAGCTTGTAGAGTAGAACCAGAGCAGAGCTGAAGAGAATTTGAGCCAGGAAATGTTATGATAATGAATGGGTTCTCAGTTTGCAAGATTGCAGCTAATGATCAGTTACCAGCAGTTAGCCGAGGCCTGGTAACGACCCGCTGGCATTTCTCTGTCACTGCGTCCGGAAATGTCTGCAATCATCCCAGTGACTGCAGGGTGAAAGGCAGATTAGGGTTTTTCCTGCAGATATTTAGGGCTGTGCAGCAGGAAGAATGAAGGTAGAAACGTCATTCTGACTCTTCCATCGTATGCATGACCCTGGGGTGGAGGCATCATAGCCGGTCCTCCTAAAAAATACAACAACAAAAAACTAGATATTGGAGCTGCTTTCCATGGGCTATACATGTGATGTGATGGGCCTAAACAAAGTTCTGTATAATTGTGAAGTCAAAAGTTTTATAAATATTTTTAATTTGTTTAAACTGAAAAGAGTGTCATGCACTCTTCCCTCATAAATCGCCAAGAAAACCTCCTTCAGAGATCTTCTTTTCAGTGGATGGATCCATGTTTTTCTTGGAGAACAAACGGCTTCATGAAACCAAGGAAGAAATATATGGAATATATAGAAGAGGATTCTGACTTTAATCTCAGAATTCTGACAGCTAACAAACATGTTAGCATCAGGCCTTAGCCATGTTT